CACACACACACACACACACACAGAGAGAGAGAGAGAGAGAGAGAGGGAGGCGGCCGGGGTGGGCTCGGCCCATTAGTTAGGTCAACTCTTTGCCATCCGCCATCTTTTTCCCTCCGCTTTTTTGCTCTTTGTCGTCTGCTAGCAGAAGGCAAAGAGGGGGACATTAGTTTTTTCTATGCAGCTCGTTAGTGGGGCCCACCTCTCTCTTTGCCATCCGCCAGCTGACGGCAAAGAAGTGGCTGACGGCAAAGACCTTCTTTGCCATCAGCCAGTTCTTTTCCGTCCGTTTTCTGTAAGCGGACGGCAAAGACCTTCTTTGCTGTCAGCCAGCAGACGACAAAGAAAAGTAAGCCAATTCCAGTCGTGGTGGTGTGCTTCGGTGAAGTTTTTAAAGGTCTGGTGGCCGCCTTCAAGACAAACGCCGAGTGAATCGAGGCTCGTCCATTGGGGGTTACTCGAAAGGGGAGAATATAGTGAGGGTGGTGCTCCGATGCTTTGGCTTCGGCACTGCTCCAAATGATATTAGCACTCTCACCAGTGTAAAATTTAGATAAATCCACATCCCTGACTCACTTATGGTTATCTCATTCCTGTACCCATTACTTTTTGCAATCATACTTACTCATACCGTAATACCTTGTGCCAGTTCAAATTACTTAGTTTTTCTTCAATTCCATATCTTGCAATATTTGTGCTTGCTAGTTTTCTGAAGTGCCTATTTGTTTAGCATAGTTGTTGGTGCACTTAGTTGAGTCTAGCATATTTAGTTTTTTGTGCTTCATAAGTATCTATTTAGTTTAATTCCGCAATAGGATAAAGCCAAATCCGTAAAAGTTTCAAAACCCCTATTAACCCCCTTCTAGGCGACATCAAGGTCCTTTCAACATGGCAACCACCAAAAATTGTATATTCCAAGTCAGTCAAAAATATTTTCCTCTAACAGCACCCCCGGACACCCCCTTCTTCTTCATCCCCGACAACACTCTAGCATGGCCTCGGTGTCAGCCATGGAGGGCCCAAAGACATCGCGAATAACCTAATGAACATGCGCCGGACTTCCCATAAGCGGTCCATCGCAAATTACAAACAAACTAGAAAGACATATCGATAGTCATGGTCATTAAAGGTTCACCATCATCAAGTTCATAGAAAAGTACATGCAAAATACACTCTAAGCATAGTAGACGGGCCTTGTCGGAGCAGACGGGGTCAAGCAGACGAGACCGGAGCAAACGTCCTGGTAGAAAACTGTGTTGGAGCAGACATGGCCAGAGAAAATGTGGTGGAATCATACGACAACGAGAACATACTACCCAAGCATTTCTCTCTAATCCATGCCTCGAGGTGCTCATCAGCCAGCAGATTCGGTTCAACGAGGCGCTTCCAAAATGGCATTACTTTAGCACCCTCCTTGAACACGTATTGTATAATCACCAATGAGCGCTCACTAAGTAACTTCGACTTCAGACTCGTCGTGGTTGGGGGACCTTCGGGGAGCGGAATCAAACGGGCCTTCTCCGTCGTCGCATCCCAACAAATCACTTGCGCAAATGAGGTCCTCGCTGCAACGGTCACCCTTGGCATCCACCCAAAGGGCATCCCCGGGGAAAGCCACGTGAACTGCTACATTATCATCCTATAGGTGTCCCCCGTCTCCGACTCGAGCCATCCCCACAGTTTAAATGGGAGCCTCACCTCACGAGCCCATTCCACACACACTAGCTATGCTGGTTCCAATCGCAGGAAGAGGCAGGATGGAGGGAAAGGCAGGAGAGGTGGGGGAGCCTCAGAGCCGGCAGCGGTGATGTATCCGAATGGACAATAACCGGGCGGGGCTAGGATTATATCGTGCTCCCTGGGGTAATCAAACCTACTTGAAAAACATCGATCGGTACGGTGATTTATACATAATACCCCATATACACCTCCACTAACTTCATCTCGTAAGCACTAAACAGGAGATACCCCCTACCCTCTTGTTTTCTTGACGGCAACAACATAACATATATGATATTTCTTCTCATCCGTGTCAACCGAGATCGTCACGTCTGCATATGGACAGGGCCATGTGATTTCTATCATTTGCGACGCCCCTTACAACATTGTAAGATCATCGTTACAAACACAAAAAAGAAACCATAAACAACACTTGCATTGAAACCATAAACCAAAAAGGGACCAACAAAGTTTCACAACATACAATCATTATACGTACCAAAAAAAAAGATAACATAGGCTTTTGCCGCCCTCTCCTTCAGTGAGAGGTTGTAGTACCTCTGCACTATTTACCTGGAAAAATGAATACACGGGAGACAAAAAAAATTATGTACATGTCTGCTTGTTCAATAATAGAATAATTAATTCTACACCACAGTATTATCTATCTTGAATTCTTGATAGCCTATTGGCATGTACTAGTACAAGATTGTTTCATGCTTCTTTTTTGAAGCCTAAGATTGTTTCATGTCGCCGCGCGCGCTTACACGACCGATTTAAGTTAAATTTAATTACAGCTTAGAACTGAGGAAGCATCTGATGACCGAGGCCGCCCAGCACCGACGCCGCCCCCTGCCAGCTGTTCGCCGACTGCGGCGGCGCGTCGAAGCACGACCCGTTAAGCCTCTTGGCCGATGACTCTTCCGGGCTCGCGGCCTTGCGTTTCCCCGCGCTCCCGCCGCTGGCGTCCGGCGATGACGACGACGGCGCGTAGTACGACGGCTGTACTCCGTGCGCGTTGTCGCCGACGGGGAGGAGCATGTTCAGGGAAGGGTGGACGGCGAGGTGGTGGGTGGCGCCGTGCTCGGCCTCGGCGTCGAGGATCTGCGCGAGCGAGTAGTCGTCGAAGAGCTCGGAGAAGGACGGGATCGTGGGGAGTCCCCCGGCGTGCGGCGGCTGCTGCGTGATCATGGTTCTGCTGGCGCTGCTGCTGCTGCTGGAGTGCGCGTAGAAGCTGCAGGCGGCGTCGTCGAAGGTGCCGCCGCCGCCGGAGAGGTCGTCGTGGTCGGCCATGTGGTCGTAGTCGGACAGCGGCGGCACCATCGGCGACGCCAGGCCGGTCTTCTTGTAGATCCGGCATAGCACCCAGTCATCCAACTGCACACATGTGATGTGAACCACACATCAATATCATACACGTAGATGTGCCGGTACCGCCATGCCTATCCTTGTCGAAAGCTACTGAACTTGACGAATCAATGGCTGCCACTAGCTAGCTGCTACGAATCAATCGCGAAGCTAATTTCTCCTCCAATCAAAGCAGTAGACATCAAATTAAGCATCTCTCGTTTTACTTGCAAGGTACAGTATCATTCACGTACTACTTGATGTGATGTGATGTTAGCAAGTACTCAGGTTAGAGGGCAATTTAGTCAATCAATAACTTAAGATGGATGCATAACCGATCAACGCTGCAACGGCACGGCCGGTGCAACCGTGCAACAAAGCAAAAGCATGGGCCGGGGCGAGAAGATCAGGATAGAATGCATGCCAGCCGCGTGACACTGTTGCACACGGACATGGCCGGCGCCGGTAACTAAACGATCGAGCGCGACAGTTCATGCCTGATCGACTAACTAATCACAGCAAGTGGGATGGGCGTACCCTCATGGAGACGTTGCGGAACTTGATGGGCTTGTAGGTGTTGACGGCGGTGGTGAGGGGGTCGGCGGCGAGCCGGTACTCGTGCATGATCCAGGCAGTCTTGGTGCCCTTGGGCGGGCGGCCCTTGTAGAAGACGAGCGCCTTCTTGACGCCGACGCCCTGGCCGGTGGCGGGGTCGTGGATGGGCTTGTCGGTGCCGGTGGCCTTCCAGTAGCCGGAGCCGGCGGCGCGGTTGGGGCGGATGCCGTTGGGGTACTTGCGATCCCGCGGGCTGAAGAAGTACCACTCGCAGTCGCCGTACACCGCCTGGGCTGCAGTTCCATTCATTATCAGAACCGAACCATGGTAAGCAGAGCAGGGACTACATACAGCGGTGATCACTTGATTGGTTGAGAACTTACAAGGGAGGTCCCACGGATCGAACTTGTAGATGTCTACGTCGGCGATGATGGAGACCGGGCACGGCGCGGCGGCGGCGCGGTTGCGAAGGTAGTGCAGGATGAGCTCCTCGTCCGTCGGGTGGAACCGGAACCCCGGCGGCAGCGACGTCGCCGCCCCCTGCCCCTGCCCCTGCGCCATCGCCATGATCGACCACCCGATCGACACGCACGTACCTCGTACGTGCAACCACCCAAGCTCTCTAACACACACACGATCAGAAGAAGGGAGAAGCTTACACACACTGGACCAGACCAGAATCTATCTCGGGGATGGGATCGAATGGCGGATGGGATGGACGGGTGGGCGTGCGATTATATGGTCCAAGGTATCTTGTCAGTTAGCGCGGGGTGGCAGGGCCATGGCATTGTTGGGGTTCTCGAGGGGCAGAACCGGCACAGGGAGGGGGGCGCGTCGCGCCGGCCGATTGGTTCGTTATTCCCCGCGTCCGGCGTGAGCGTGTGGCGTCAGCCAGCCGAGCGGGGGTGTGTGTGCGCGCGCGTGTGCCCGGCCCGTTTGCGCAACCGTATCTAGTAGCAGCACTCGTAGGTCATAGCCGGCTAGCCGCCGCTCCCCTCCTAACTTGCTCACCAATCTCATGTGATATCTCCGCCTCTTGAATCCAGCATGCATTCTCTTATTTCGTGTAAATATCTCAGACAAAAAATCTAGCATGTAGTAGCAAGCTGTACAAGTGTCACTGGAATCTTTCTCGCACTACAACGGCCGGATGAGGTGTGCATGTGTGCGTTGGTTGGGTTTCCTTTGTCGAGCCATGCTATTCTTACGTATTACCAGTTACGAAAATTCAACATACTAGTTCAATTTGAAGGTAGTTATTCCCATGTTTTGCTGAGTAATGCTACACCTACGTAGGGATTCTCACGTACCTTGCATGATTGCTGATTTGGCTGTTTTTAATTTTTCACTAGTTGGGGGCATGGGCCCACCCTAAAGGGGGGGGGGGGTTGATTAGTGTCTAAGGTAATTACGTAGTTACGTAACACCTGTTCGCAGGTGTAGCATTTTTCGGTTTTGCTCTATGTACTCCCTCTGTGAAGAAATATAAGAGCGTTTGCATTTCTTTACGGAGGGAGTATTTATTAAAAGCAAATGAGCACATAAGAATAGGATTTCTGGCAGCGGCAATTACCTCGAACCCGAAGTTGCTAGCAGGCTCTTCGACCCCTCCCCCTGCCGCGGCACTCCCGTGACCGCCCCGGGGGAGGAAACCCTAGCCGTCCCGCTCTGGCCCCACCTCCCCTCGTCGTCGCCTTAGCGCACTAGCGGGCAAAGCCTGGCCATCGTAGGTGGGGGGGGCTCCCCTCTCCCCCTCGTTGTTCTCAGCACGAGAAGTGCCCTTCGGGGGGTGGCGTGGCGCTGAGCACGGGGTGCGGTGGCGCGGCCTTAGGAATTTGCGGCGGTGGTGCAGGTTATTGGTGGTGGCGCGACCATAGGAATTGTTGGTGGCGTCGCAGGTTACTGGTGGTGGCATGCAGGGTTGTGGACGGAGGCGGTGTGCGCCGTGGAGGAGAACAAGTAAGGCGGCGACCCCCACCTCCCTCATTCTCCGGCGGCTTCTTCCTCTACCTCCACATAGATTCAACTGGCTAGAGCCAGATCCGACCATCCAGGGGTCCGACGGCGTCTGTGTCGTCCTTGGCAGGCGGCTCGATCTCCGATGGTTGGGGTGTTTCGCGTCAAGTGGCGCACCGGGGTAGGATCCCTGTTGTGCAGGGTCCATCTCCCTAGAAGGTAGTGGTCGGGCCAGGGGCAGCGGAAATCCCCTCTTCCTCGCCAAGTGGCCTAGGTGCTACCAGAATGGTTACATGTGCTCTTGTTACAGGGTGGAGGCAGATGGGGAAGGAAGCTCTTGTCCAAATCTGGTCTCCATGGCCGATTTGGGTTCGATGATCACCACCAAAGTTGGTGTGGTGCTGGCGTGGTGAGCCTTCGTCATTGATGTGCAGGGGCGGGAAAGGAGGGGCCTTTCCATCCCTCTATCAATCTGTGCGATGGTCATGGTTTGATGCCGGGCTGCGGAGTTGAAGTTGGGATCTTGGACGCCAGGGCAGCGGCCCGGGTGGCAGTCTGTCACTTTGGCTTGTCGGTAGGTGTCTTGGCGGCCGTGTGACGAGAATTGAACCTTGTGGCGAGATCCAATCTGATGTTGCAGCCCGATCTTTCACGACACACCACCTTCAGTAGTAGCAACCTCTCGCCCGTGCACGTGATGTACATGAAGTAGAGAGATTGAACATTATGATTCAGCACGAGAAAACCAATCTCGATGATGGTACTCACACACAAAACAATTTTCTCAAAAGAAACCGTGACACGGAGGTTTTCTAAAGATTCCTCCAAAACTTAGGGATTTTTAGACAGCTTCCCCCAAAACTTGATACGGGTATTTGCCGTAAAAACACATCATGTTTATTCATGAAAATATAACATGGACCTATTACATTATACTGGCTTGGCTTTATATAATAGCTGCAAAAGCTAACTAGCTTGGGAAGCAAGCAGCTCATCCTAGCATCCATCTCACATACAAGATAGATGGATAAAGAAAAGGCAACTTCTAAAACTAAGACTCTAAATATAGCTATTAGTTTACTTGCCTTATAGTTTGACAAGTTAATCTCTATATTAACATGGACTGTTTTGTTGGTCCGTTTGTGGTGGACCCCATCCCAAGGCACACAAGGATAGAGTTCTCCATGATGCAAGCCTCGTACAAATTCTTTCCATCTCTTCAGATGGGCGTGGCATGTGAAAGTATTAACCAGTGCCATCTCCTTTAATTCCAACTGGATAAAATTCCTGGACTTGTAGTTTGAGCATCCAGTAAATCCTCCATATTTAGACGCGGGGTTCCCTTATTTATCTCCTTTTATGTCAAAACTAACCACACGTGCTTCATTTCTTCTATCTCCTAAAAAAACTAGAATTTTTACGTGCATCATTAGAATGCCAATTTAACCCTCCAAAATATGTGTACGTGCATGCACTTTCTTGTGGAGATACATATAATTTGTTGTCCTCTTTCATCCGTTCTAGCTTGGTGCATGGGTGTTGAGATGTTGTCCAACATGACACAATCGTGAACCATGTGGCGTGCTTAATAGGAATTGCAACTAATTCTTGTTCAACATCGTAACTTGGCCGCATGTATTTTGGTATATATGCAGCGTATTTTTGGAAAACATCGGCTTTAGGAGAAATATCGATGACCTCGGTATTTATATTACAAGGGGTCATACCATCCTCTCCCCGTTGAACCGTTTCGATACGGTCTCTTTTGCAATATTTTTATGTGCAGTCTAAACGATGACCGTAGAAATTTTAGTAGCTTTGACCTTCTTCATGTGTGTATCTTCCTTCACTTTTATCTCCTCAAGATGTTCTTTCCTCCAAGCAACAAAAAGCTCCTCACCATGGGCATGAGGTCACACTTCTTACCATTCTTGACGGTATACTTGTGTGTTTGGCAATCATATGCAACATCACGCTCTTCGTACCATGGCTTGCCCAACAACAAGTGACCCAAAATTATTGGTATAGGAATCAAATGGCATAAAACCTCACAAAAATATTTTCCCAACAACAATGGTACCTTGGTCTGGTGCGTGACAGTGAGCTCTTCATGACCCCTAACGAACGAGTATGGTTGTGGACGCGGTGTCATCGGCAGTTCCAACTTTTGCACCACCTCGATGCGTGTGGAGTTGATCGAATTTATGTGATCGATTATCATGGCACATGATTCTCTCACGACCACATGGATGTGAAAAATTTTGGCCGAGCGGCCCTTCTCCTCCAACTGAAATCCATAGCTTAGCTTCCATGATAATTTAGTCATCTCCTTTGCAGTGTCGTGAGCAACCTTGGCTCTGATACCATCCGATGCGAACCGAACCTTGTGGCGCGATTCGATCTGATGTTGCGGCCTGATCTTTCACGACACTCCACCTTCAGTAGTAGCAACCTCTCGCACGTGCATGTGATGTACACGAAGTAGAGGAATTTAACCTTATGGTTCAGGATGAGAAAAACAATCTCGGCGATGGTACACATGCGCAAAATAATTTCCTTGTAAAGAAATCACAACACATAGGTTTTCTAAAGCTTCCTCCAAATCTTAGAGAGTTTTAGACAGCTTCCCTAAAAACTTCTAAAACTAAAGATGCATCGCATCCTAGTATCCACCACATTGAGATGTAGTGCAACTTGACACAACCGTGAACCATGTGGTGTGCTTCATGCAAATAGCAACTAATTATTGTTCAGCATTGTAACTTGGTCAGCATATTTCCAGTGTATATGCAGCATATTTTTGGACAACATCAGCTTCAGGAGAGACATCAACGACCTTGGTATTTATATTACAAGGGGTCATATCATCCTCTCCCCCTTGAACCGAAACCGTCCTCGGTTTTGAGTCAGTCTGTTAGGGAATATTTTTATCTGCAGACTGAACGACGACCATAGAAGTTTCAGTAGCTTTGACATTCTTCATGTTTGTATCTTCCTGCACTTTTATGTTCTCAAGATGTTCTTTCCTCCAAGCAACAAAAAGCTCCCCACCCATGGGCACGAGGTCACACTTCTCACCGTTCTGGACGGTATATTTGTGTGTTCGACAATCATATGGAACATCATGCTCGGGATCACGTTGCACAAAACCTCACAAAATATTTTCCCGAAAATGTACCTTGGTATGTTGCGTGACAGTGAGCTCTTAATGACCCCAATGGAACAATTATGGTTGTGGACGGGGTGTCATCGGTAGTTCCAACTTCTCCACCATCTTGATGCTTGTAGCGTTGGTCAAATTCATGTGACTGATAATCGCGGCACATGATCTCTCTCTCTCTCTCTCTCTCTCTCTCTCTCTCTCACCACCACCACATGGGTGTCAAAAAGCCTGGCCCAGCGACACTTCTCCCCCAACTGAAATCCATAGCTTACCTTCCATGATAATATAGTCATCTCCTTTCTAGTGTCGTGAACAACCATAGCTCTGATACCACTTGATGAGAATCAAACCTCGTGGCGAGATCCTATGTGAAATTGCAGCCCTCGATCTTTCATGACACCGCCTTCAGTACGTAGTAGCAACCTCTCGCCCATGCACGCGATGAAAA